GCCCGGCCACAATCTGGATTTTAAACCCAAGCTGTCTGACTCCAGAATCCGTGCTCGCGCCTCCTGCTCCAGCCCCTGCCTGCGGCACTGCGGAGCTTAGGATGCCGCCTTCGCCTTCGGAGCTCCCGTGAGCTCCCTGAGAGTCACAGTCGCAGAACCCGGTATGGCGCAGACTACCGCTCCGGGTCTGTGCCGCCCCCTGGTGGCCCAGACTGCCCGCATCTCCTCCCAGCCGTCCACCGGCACTTCCGGAGCGTGGCGCCAGCAGCCAGAGAGGAAAGTGCTCGGGCCTCCCCGGAAGTGGGGGTCTGGGGCCCCACTCCGCAGGCGCGGGGCGGGGTGGGGCGGGGCCTGCCGCGGCGCACTCAGGCGCTGCTCGGGCCACCTCTGCCCGGGTCCTAGCGTGGCCTTGGCAGCGACGTCGGCCTGAGGGAAGATGGCGGCGCCCTGCTGGCAAGCCGCGCTGCACGCATGCAGACGCTGGCGGAGCTTCAGCACCTCGGGTGAGGGGTGTGGGAATGGGGAGCTCTTGGAGGTCCCCTATAGCCCGAACCCTGGGGCTCGAGGCGGCGCCTGCCCCCATCTGCTGCGGGCCAGATCCGGCCTGACGTCCGCTCTGTGTCCGCAGCCGCCCTGAGCCGCCGGACCGCCCCGCTGGGGCCAATGCCCAACCAGGACATCGATGTGAGCGACCTGGAGCGGCTGGAGAAGTACCGGAGCTTCGACCGCTACCGGCGCCGGGCGGAGCAGGAGGCGCGGGCCTCGCACTGGTGGCGGACCTACCGGGAGCATTTTGTGGAGGAGACAGGTGCGGGGCGTCTGGAGAGGGGCTGCAGCCGCCGGCCTCCGAACTCGGGTGGGGTGGGGGCGCCGGCGTTTTCCCCGGCACTAAGCGCGCCTTGCCGGCGCCCCAGGGTACGCTGGTTGGGGGAGGCGGGGCTCCTGCACCCCTTCGTGCCCTGTCGGCGTTTAATCACGCCAGGGTTTTTCACATCTTTTGCTCCCTCCCGTATTTGGAAAATGGCTTCACCTCACTATTGGAGTTCCAGCTCCTAAAATATATATATTGCTAAAATCCTTTCCTGACCACCGTCCCCGTTGTGGTTTAGGCTACTCGTCTGTGCGCCTAGAATACTTTGTACGTAGCCCCGGCCGCACTGTATCCTGATTTTCTTTTCGCAGCCGCCTCCCAGATTGTAAGCGCCCTGCGAACAGGGGTCCTGCCTGTCTTGCCCACCATTGGCTCCTTGCACCCCGCACAGTGCCTGGCACATAGGTGTGCAATATTTTGCTAAATAGAATTAAAGTCGCGGACAAGGTGACTCAGGGAACTAACCTTTAAGGAACTTACACATAGTATGTCCTGTTCAAAAGCATTTATAGAAGCAGTTTTTGTGGTGGTTAAGGGCACAAGCTTGGAATCTAAATAGTCTGATTTAAACTCCAGCTCAACCTCTCAGGGGTGATGTCTCTGACCTTCAGTTTCTGCAATTGTAAAATAAAATGATTGTGTATTTGTCACAAAATTGTTGTTGGGATTAAAGGATACAGTTCATTGAAATTCTTAGACTAATGCCTTTCCTGAGGAGAACTCAATACATGTTAGTTACTAGTGTTATTGTCTTATGTAAACTGACAAAGGCGTTGGGCTGAAAGTTCTCTAGGGTTTTGCTACTCAAAGTGTGTTCTGGGACCGGAGCATGGGCATTGCCTAGGAGCATGTTAGAAATGCAGTGTCTCAGGCATGTGCCTGTAGTCCCAGGTACTCGGAGGCTGAGGTGGCAGGATCACTTGAACTCAGGCCAGCCTGGGCAACATAGCCAGACTCTGTGTCTAAAAGAAAATTTTTAAAGAAAAAGAAATGCATAGTCTCAGGCTCCACCCTGACCTGCTGAATCAGAATCTGAATTTCCACAATTTTCCAGGTGATTTGTGTGAATCGTCTGTCCATTAGAGGGTGGGAAGCGCTTCTCCAAGTCCTTCTAGCTTTAGTTGTTTTTTTTCCACTCAGGACAGGTGTGTGTCCATGGCCAGCTGGGAATAGGCTTGAAGTTGATCCCAACTGTAATTGGGACGACCATCTGCCTCAATTTGCTGTGACCTAGATAAGACATTGTGACCTGGTTTAGAGATCAGAAAAAGATAACCTCAAGTTGTGTCTGATTTACTTAGCCTGTTCAGGTCTGGGAAGCAAACTGCGCGGTATGTTTTAGTTTGAGGAAAGCTTGAACAGCAGAGCTCAGAGTACAGAGTGAAAAGACTGTGCAGAGACAGGCAGCTTAACCAACAAGACTTGACCCTGCTTTTTCCAAAACATCTCACCTCCCAGATCCCAAAGACAAGATTGATATTGGGCTGCCTCCACCCAAGGTCTGCCGGACCCAACAGCTGCTGGAACGGAAAAGGGTCATCCGGGAGCTTCGGGCCAATGTGGAAGAGGAGCGGGCTGCCCGTCTCCGCACAGGTGAGCCATCTGGGGGAGGGGCACTGGGTGTGTCCCTGCTCCCCCCCCCCCCCCCCGCCCCAGCATCCCAACTGGCATCATTCCTTCCCAGCCAGCATCCCACTGGCGGCTGTGCGGGCGGAGTGGGAGAGAACCTGCGGCCCCTACCACCAGCAGCGTCTGGCTGAGTACTACGGCCTCTACAGAGACCTGTTTCATGGGGCCACCTTTGTGCCCCGTGTCCCCCTTCACGTGGCTTTTGCTGTGAGTGAGGAGGACCTGATGCCTGTGTACTATGGCAATGAGGTGACTCCAACTGAGGTAACTGCTTACTTGTGTCCCTCCTCCCTGCCCTGTTGACACAGACACATCCCATTACAGCTTCACAGACAGCTCCTGGGTTAGGGTTTGTTGTTCTCAGTGTCTTTGATTTCCTGGGAAACAATTATAGGACAGTTACAAAAGAAAGAATACAAAACAAAGGAAAAAGAAGTTTCATCTTTGCACATTCCTGTAACTGGCCCACTGTCTTTGGAGTGTCCTCCCAGGCCCTGTGCCTTGGTACATGGCCCTTTTTGTGGTTTAGATCCCTGGGCAAGCAACTCTGCAGGCTTCCTTCTGTGAGCATCTCTTTGTCCACCTGCCTCTGCGAGGGGATGTCAGCCATGTTTAGGTCAGAGTGGGCTCCCCCTTCCCCAAGACACCCTCAGGCTCCAGCCTCCAGAAAGACATTGTTTGCAACAGTTTGTCTGTCATTGATGGGGTGGCAGCTCTCCTGTTCTGTCCCCGCCAGGCTGCCCAGGCCCCAGAGGTGACCTATGAAGCAGAAGAGGGTTCCATGTGGACACTGCTGTTCACTAACTTAGGTAGGCATCTCGGGTCACTAGGACTCCTGCGTCCCTTACCTCCCTTGAGCCAAGACCCTGGGGGCTGGGGGAGGGGCCGGGTAGAGAGCTCAGGCCCGTGGTCAGTAGGGTATATTTGTGTGCAGATGGACACCTGCTGGAGCCAGACGCCGAGTACATCCACTGGCTGGTGTGAGTATCTGGGGCCGGGGCTGGGTCAGAGGCCACGAGGAGGCCCTGGGAGCCTGGACCGAGCTACACCTGAGTTTCAGTCTCGGCTCTCCCTTAGAATAACTGGGATTTTGAATTAACTTTCCTGCCCAGGAGGTGACCCTTCCTGAGGTAGTTGGGGGGTCCTAGGATCCAGGTGTGCACTTGAAGGCAGATACAGAAGAAAAAGTAGGCAGTGGGCCTTGGCCAGTCCCCATAAGCTTCCTCATCTCTCTGAACTCATTTCCTCACCTGTAAAACTGAGGTGATGCTGCCACACGCCTTACCCGCCCCCCAAAAGCATGTTGTGACCGTCGCATAGGAAAAGGAACATGAGAGGCCTCTGGCAGCTGTGACATCTCCCCACATGCTCATTGAACCGGGTGTTCTTTCCCTGGGTAGTTGCCATGGCGCCCAGCCCCGGGTGCCTTTTGTTTTCTCAGTGGCTTTTGGCTCTGAGCACCAGGCCGGGGGGCAGAGTCAGGCAGGTAACCCCAGCTTTGGACTTCTGGGTAATTGGGGCCAGTGACTGGGAGACTGGTTTCTGTCATTTTTATTCACCTGTATTTACCAACCTGTGCAGCAGGACACTCTGGGGAGTTGTGCCTGGGACAGCTACAGTGGCCACCCCAGTGCCAGGCAGGGTACACCCTCCGTGATAAGACCCCAGAGCCTTCAGGAAACAGAAGCAGCCCAAAAGTGGTGTGGCTTTCCAGCCGAAGTGACATGGCAGACCCTCCAGCTCCCCAGGGCCTAGTAAACGGGCTGCTCAGCCTTGCCGTCCTGCTGACAGCCTCTGGAACCCCGCCTGTTCCCTTCAGGCTTGCAACATGTCCCCAGAGCTCGGCCTCCTCCTTTATCACAGGACAGGAATCATTTAGGGTCTGTCCTCCTGGGGAATTACATCAGCCCCTGGGGATCATGGTGAGGGTGTCCTGGTACCTCCCTGCAGTGGCAGGCAGTTAACAGATGCTTTTCCTCCTCCCAGAACCAACATCCCGGGCAGTAGGGTGGCTGAAGGACAGGAGACTTGTCCCTACCTCCCCCCATTCCCTGCCCGAGGCTCTGGCTTCCACCGCTTCACCTTCTTGCTCTTCAAGCAGGATGAGCCAATCGACTTCTCCGAGGACACCCGCCCCTCGCCCTGGTAATCCACCCCACACACCTACCCCAGGCCTCAACCTCTCCCCCAGAATGGTCGCTCTTGGTCAGTTCTCTCTCCTGACGTAGGCCTTGAGATTGGCAGAAGAGCAGGATGCTAGCAGACCCTGGAGGGCTTCTCAGGATTGCTTGGGCTGGGGGGACTTCGGTGCCCCTTCCCCTACTCCTGGACATTCTCCATCTTCTCTTAGCTACCAGCTGGCCCAGCGGACCTTCCACACTTTTGATTTCTACAAGAAACACCAGGAAGCCATGACTCCAGCTGGCCTGGCTTTCTTCCAGTGCCGCTGGGATGACTCGGTCACACACATCTTCCACCATCTTCTGGGTAAGGGCAGAGTGGGGCTGGGGGATCGGGGTGGGCCTGAGCTCACAGACCTCTCCTGCCTTGCCAGGGAGAAACTCCCTTAAGGCCACCGCAGGCCCTGGGATAGGCAGGCCCTAGCCTGACTCAGTCTACCCTGTACCCCTCGCTCTTCTTGCAGACATGCGGGAGCCCGTGTTTGAGTTTGTGCGGCCGCCCCCTTACCACCCCAAGCAGAAGCGCTTCCCCCACCGGCAGCCCCTGCGCTACCTGGACCGGTATAGGGACAGTCACGAACCCACTTATGGCATCTATTGAGGGGCCAGAGTGTCCCCACCTCAGAGGGTGGGCTGGGCTGGCAGGAACAGTGAAGACGCAGCTCCTGAGGACCAAGCGGTGGGGTTCTGGGCCCTGCCTGAGGCAGCCCCTCTCATCAGGCCCAGGGCTTGGAGTAAAAGGGACTCTGAGGGGGTCTGGGCAGCGGGTGTGAATAAAGATGATTTCTGCGGTGGCCGGTCTGGGTCTGTGTTCCAGGAGCAGCCAGAGCGCGCCTGGTGGAGCTGCATTCCCCGCCTTTCGTGGCCGGGAAGAGGGCTGCCTCTGCCTTCTGAGGGTGTCAGGGGCCCTGTGACCCAGTGGCTGGCAAGGAGTGGGCAGAAGGAAAAGCAGGTAGTAGAGCAAAACCAGCATAGTCCAGAGAAGGGAGATACCCCAGTCTGGCAAGTACCCGAAACCCAGCTCCCAGAGAAAGTGCAGCGGAGCACCTGGGGTCAGGAGGGAGCATTTATTGAGTACTAGCTGTGTGCCCCAGGCGGCCCTGAGCATTAGCTCCTCTGCCCAGCACTGATGGTGGCCCATTCCTGCTCCACCCCATGCTTGGGATGAGCCTTGTCACACGGGGCAGCGTGAGTCTCAGAGACCTCTGGGGTAGAGGTCCCTGGACCGTCACTGGGTGGTCAGATATTTCCTCTCGCTAAAGGAGAAGGCTGCCTACTAGCAGGCCAGGGGGAGCCTGTGTGCCTTTCCCAGAAAGAGAAGCTTCACGTGTAGGACACAATGCTTGTTGCGTTGCAGTGAGCACATTCTGCCTCGGAATCAGCCCAGCTTGGCTAGAAGAAAAGGAGTTAACCATCCTCAGATTGACCCTGGCAGGACACCCCTCTGCTCTGCTCAGCTGCAGGGGAAATGCTGAAGCTGCCTCCCAAATATTGAGGTTCCAGATCAGGTTGGACCTCCAGACAAGGAACTCGCCCCAGCAGAGGGCTGGCAATGAGAGGGGATACTGACTGCATCTGGAACTTGGCTTGGGTATCAAAGGGGCATTGAAAAAAACCAGTTTTAATTGGTCTGTCTCTTGGCAACCAGAAATTTCCATCACACTGTTTCCTTAAAAAGAGCCAGAATTAGGTGTAGCCCAGAGAAGGGAGTCCCAATCTGGCAAGTGCCTGAAACCCAGCTCCAGGAAAAAGTGCAGCAGAGCACCTTGGGTCAGGAGGGAGCATTTATTGGGCACTAGCTGTGTACGTGGACGCCAGGCCCTCCCACATGCACTGTTTCATTTAGTGGCCCCAGGAAGGGAGTGTCTATGCTGTCAGCCTGGCTTACAGCTCAGGAGCCCAGAAGAGGTGAGGTTGGGCGATGGCCCGGGCCAGAAGGAGCCTGAGGCCCCCCGCAGGGTACCCGAGCCTCCTGCCTCCAGAGGCTGACCCGGATCCCCAGCACAGCAGCTAGGTCGAAGGTCTAGGGAGTCCGGATGGAGGTGCCAGGGCAGACCGAGAGCCAGACCCAGTTCTCAGCCGGGCCGAGGCGGACAGGAGTGGCGCGGCGGCTGATCAGAGAGCGCCAGGGAAGGGCCCACGGGGAGCGCCATACCGGGCGCCCGCCCCGCTGGCGGTTCTTCCTGGGCGGGGTCCTCGCTCCTCCCCGCGGCGGCCGCGCCGGCCTGCCCTCCCTCCCACCTCCGCCATGGCCGCGCGGCTGCTGGAGGACAAGCTGACCTGCGCCATCTGCCTGGGGCTCTACCAGGACCCGGCCACGCTGCCCTGCGGCCACAACTTCTGCGTGGCCTGCATCCAGGACTGGTGGGGCCGCTGCGGGAAGGCGTGCCCCGAGTGCCGCCAGCCCTTCCCCGACGACGCCGAGCTGCGCCGCAACGTGGCGCTCAGCGGCGTGCTGGAGGTGGTGCGCGCCAGGCCCGCCGTGGACCCCTGCCCCGGCCCGGACCCCGGCGCGCGCTGCCCCCGCCATGGGCTGCCATTCGAGCTCTTCTGCCGGACCGAGGGCCGCTGCGTGTGCAGCGCCTGCACGGTGCACGAGTGTCGCCTCCACGAGCGGGCGCTGCTGGACGCCGAGCGCCTTGAGCGCGAGGTGACGCGGCCGCCGGGTGGAACGGGCGGGAGGTGGGGCGGGCCGCCGCAGCCTTGCCACAGCTGGGGCGACTCGCCTGCGGGATCCGGGGCTGTTCTCTGGGCCCTGCTCCCTCTCTGGGCGCAGCTGGCAGGGAGTGTCAGCTGGAGACGGCTTCCAGGTGTTTTTCTTCCCAGAACCTGGGAGTGACAATAACTCAGGTGTCTGTGACTCGCATTGGGGTCTCAGGAGATGCTCACTGAGTGTCCTGGATGAAGGCATAAGCCAGGGATATTAGGCAGTGAGCTCCCGGCTCTACTCCAGGCCGCGTGTATGGGCGGTGCTCCCTGAACACGCTTTCCTTCCGTGGGTAAGTGTGTGGAACACCTACAGTGTGCACAGTGTGGGCAGGGGCTGCATGTTGCTGAGTAAATCACACGTGCTCTCTGCCCGTAAGAGACTTAACATCTGAAGAGGTCAGTGCCCCAGTAAGAGGTGAATGTGTTATTACAGGGTGCAGTAAGGAAAGCACAGGATGACACTGCTTAGGGGACCAGGGGGAGGAAGGGGAGGTGGCCTTTACGCTGACACTTGAGGGCTGAGAAAGTACCAGCCAAGAGGAGAGGGACCTGGGGAGGCAACCGGGGCCACGCTCTGGGCTGGGAAAGAACTGGGCACGCTGGGTCCATGGAGACAGATCTGGGAGGTCAGCAGGGCCAGATGGGAAGGGGCCCTGTGGGCCATGGTGAGGGGTCCGACTCTGACTCTAGGGCATGGGGAGCCATCGTGGGCTTGGAAGCAGGACAGCAGCATGACTGGATTTAGGCTTTATGGAGAGTGATCACTCTGCTGGGATATGGAGGGGGCTGGAGGTGAGACTGGAGTCCAGGGTGGGAACCGGGGAGACAAGGTACTGGTGGGGGGCGGAAAACAGGGAGTGGGAGTCAGTGCCTTGTGGAGGCGGGACACAGGCTGGAGTGGACTTGGGGGGTGGCAGCGAGGGCAGCAAGGAAAACATCTGGGTTTCTGTCTTTTTTCTGAGACAGTCTCACTCTGTTGCCCAGGCTGGAGTGCAGTGGCGTCATCGTAGCTCACAGCAACCTCAAACTCCTGGGCTCAAGTAATCCTCTCGCCTCAGCCTCCCAGAGTGCTAGGATTACTCACGCCTGGCCCAGGTTTCTCTCTCGACCGAGTGAGTGGCCAGGCATGCTGTGTGCTAAATGGGGAGAGAGCAGAGTTGGCTTTAGAACATGTAGGGGCTGGAGTCGCCAGTGGGACAAACCCAGGGAGGGGTCCTAGGCATCTGTCAAGAGCTCAGGAGCTCTCAGCTGGAAGTGGCAAGTTGAGAGTCTTCAGCACTGGCAGGTGGAGAAGGTCCGGGAGGGAAGGGGTCCCCTGCCGAGCAGGCCCAGGGCTGTAGTCAAACCAAGCAGGAGCTCCCAGGGGGATAGGAGGAAAATGCAGCACATGGCATGGCGCCGAGGGCAGAGTGGTGCGGAAGGAGAACATGGTTGTGGTGCCCATGCTGATGAGAGGTTCAGTAAGAGGACAAAAATGACCATTGGAATCCGCACTGTGGAGGTGGCCGGCACCCTTGACAAGAGCCGTTTCGGTAGCGAAGACAGGAGGCTGAATTCACTTGGGTATGGGACTAGGAGGGGCGGGGCCAGCGAATGGTGGGATGATGGCAAAATGATGGCACAGGGACACTGAATGGGACAGGAAATGGGTGCCAGAGGGCTGATGGGCTGGAAGGGGTGGGGAGTGCACGGTTGGGGGTCTGTTGAGGCTGGGAACCAGGACTGAGGAGGCTGGAACAGGTGAGGGTCGGGAAGCGGTGGTCAGAGAACTGGTGTTTGGAACACAGATTTCAGAGCTGGTGACGGGCCTGGGTGAGGTCACAGGAGTGGCCGAGATGGGGTGAAGGAAAGGGCTCCAAAGTGTTGGCGGATGTTCCCTGTGGCTGCTGAGACTGAGCTAGGCGTGAAAGTTTTCAAGGGAGGCCAGTGGATGACAGCCAAGCAGAGGAAGCGAGTGCAACAGCCCATGCTCCCAAGGAGCTGGGGTTTTGCTAGCAAAAGGGGAAGGGCTGCGGGGCTGCGTGGGGACAGGTGTCTGTCCCTGGAGGAGGGTCCAGTGCCCCAGCAGAGTCTACCCTCCTGCCTCATATGTTTGTCACGTGCTGAATGCTGGAGGCAGGGTCCTAGATGAAACATAAGCCATGGGCTTAGAAAGATCTGAGGATTCTGAGCAAATTGTCAACTTCTCCAATCCTGTTTACTCATCCATGACGAGGGGATAAAAATGGTCCCCACCGCAGTGTGTAGCTGGGAGGAGCAGAAGCAAGGCAGTGAGGCTCCCGACCAGGTGCAGGGAACAAGTCCTAGCGGTGGGCAGGAACCAGGGGCTCCTGGCATCAGCATGGTTTGTCCTGTTCCCATGAGAGCATCTTGATCCCTGAGGGAATCGGGGGGGGGGGGTGAGAAAACAGGGCCCCTCCTCCCCCTCATGCCCAAAGTGAGAGTCAAGGACTGGCTTCACATATGCACCGAACTGCCTACTTCTCCCGCAGTGTTGGTGCTTTGGGTTGTCGCCCCTTCCCTGCAAGGCCGCCTGAGCCCGCATTATCGCTCTCATTTATTGACTAGGGGGAGGTTATGGCCCAGAGAGGGTAGGAGCTTTGCCCCAGCTTGCTCAGCCTGCAAGAGGCAGGAGTGGGACCAGAAGTTGTGTCCCCAGGCCAACGCTTCTCTGCCCACACACAGCCTGCTCCAGGTGGGGAAGGGGCTTTGTCGAGGCCTCCCCGGGCTCACAGCGAGGCTGGTGCTCTGCGTGCCGGCCCTCTGGATGGCTTGAGGAGGGGCTGCCCAGCGTCTGCAGGGGTTTGTTGGTTGTCGAAAGGTTGACTTCACAGCCAATCCTGGTCCTCTCTTGTTGCTGGTCCCATGGGTGGGCACCACAGGCCCAGCTGAGAGCCAGGCTAGAAGTGACCCAATGGCACACCACTCAGGCCGAAACCCAGCTGCAGGAGCTGCAGCAGCGAAGCAGCCAGATCCAGGTACAGGGCCTGTCTGTGTTCCACCCGCCATGTTCTCGCGCAGCGCTGCGGGCAGCTGCTGGCTGCTCCCTGGGGCGCTGGGCAGTGGGCGTGAGCTGCTTTGAACATGCTTTGGGGCAGCAGGGAGTGAGGGGCTGAGCAGGAAGTTGGGCGCCTGGGGAGGGGGAAGCCTGCTTCCCAGGACCCTGGCTCCTACATCCCCACCCCTCAGCCCATTGGGTAGCCCTGGCCTGCCTTGGCATGGCACAGGACCCTGGCTACCCTGAAGCTCCTCCTGTGCCCACCCAGAGCTTGGCCTGCACCCTGGCCTCCTCGGTCTCCAGCAAGTTCAGCAGCCTGCAGCAGGCCCTGGAGATGCGGCGGGCCGTGGTGCTGAGAGACATCGAGGTGGCCAAGACACAGGTGCTGGCACAGGCCCGGGATGAGGAGCAACGGCTGCAAGGCCACTTGGAGGCCTTGGCTCGCCATGGCCACAGGATTCAGGAGCTCCTGGAGCAGGTGGATGACAGGACCTTCCTGCAGGTACGAGGCCTCAGGGCAGTGGGCTGGGGGGGACTCGTCTCCCTGCCCCTCATACCGGGTTTACAGCAGCTGTTCCGGGCTCAGGAATCACAGCTCCTTGAGCCCCCAGGGCCTCTTGGACCACTGACCCCTCTGCAGTGGGATGAAGATCAACAACTGGGTGACCTGAAGGAGTTGCTAAGCCAGCTGTGTGGCCTCCTCCTGGAAGAGAGGGGCCGCCCCGGGGCACCAGCCAAGGCTGCAGACTTGAGCCCCATGGGTAAGGTGGGCCCCAGACCTCCCCTGCCTCTCCTGGCCTGGCCGCCCCTCCCTGCAGGGTGGGTGTGGGATAAGGCCCCCTCCTCCCAAGGCCTCCCCATCCACTCTCCTAACACTGCTTTGCCCACTAGAGGCCCCAGGGCCCCTGGCACCGGTCCCGAGCGCAGTGTGTCCGCTGAGGAGGAAACTCTGGCAGAGTAAGGAGGCCCAGGGCATGTACATGTGTACCTGTGTGTGCCTGTGCAAGCGTGTGTACTGTGAACACATGCATGTGTGTGCACGTTTATGTGTGTGAGTACGTGTGTGCCCATGTGTGCATGTATGTATGCTGTGAGCACATGTGCATGTGTGTGCATGTTTGTGTGCACATGTGAGCATGGGGGGCACGTGCTATGACTGTCTTGACATAGATGTCTGGGCCTGGCCCCACCCCCTGCACACCTGTTGTAAGATGTACCCATCGTGCACGTCCACTCTGAAGCAAACACAGCTGGCATAGTGTCTAAGGACAGAGTCTGGGCACACAGACCTGCGATTCCTCATGAGTATTCCAGTTAATACCAAGTTAATGCCTCTCTGAGCCTCGGTTTTGTCATCCGTGAAAGGGGGCTAATGGAGGGTTCCACCTGCCAGGTTGCAGCGAGGATTAAATGCTCAGCATGCAGCATGCCTGGCAGACAGTAGCAGTCGATAAATGGAGCTGCAGTTGCGTTCTCTCCCCTCTGGACAGGATGGCACCCTGGCCCATTTCTGTTTGTCTTTCCCCAACAGATTATCGCAATCTCACCTTTGACCCAGTCAGCGCCAACCGCCACTTCTACCTGTCCCGCCAGGGCCAGCGGGTGAAGCACTGTCGCCAGCCCTGCGGCCCAGCCAGGCCTGGCAGCTTCGAGCTCTGGCAGGTGCAGTGTGCCCAGAGCTTCCGGGCCGGGCAGCATTACTGGGAAGTGCGCACCTCAGACCACTCGGTGACGCTGGGTGTCACCTACCCGCAGCTGATGCGGTGCAAGCTGGGGCCCCATACGGACAACATCGGCCGTGGGCCCTGCTCCTGGGGGCTCTGCATCCAGGAGGACAGCGTCCAGGCCTGGCACAATGGCGAGGCCCAGCGCCTCCCAGGGGTGTCGGGGCGACTCCTGGGTGTGGATTTGGACCTGGCCTTGGGCTGCCTTACCTTCTACAGCCTGGAGCCCCGGGCCCAGCCCCTGCACACCTTCCATGCCCTCTTCACCCAGCCCCTCATCCCTGTCTTCTGGCTCCTTGAGGGTAGGACCCTCACCCTGTGCCATCAGCCCGGGGCCACGCTTCCTCCAGAGCCCCAGGAAGAGGCCTCAGCACCCAGCTGAGGAAGGCATGGGCTGGAACTCGCTCAGGGCCAGGCGCCACCATGCCTGTGTGCCCAAGAGCTGTCCAGCCCCGGCCTGGGGACCCAAGGCCACAGCTCGAATGCTGTTGGCCTCTCTGTTGATAGAGAGAGAGGTGGTGGGGGTGCCCCCAAACTGGAGGTGAACATAAACTCAGAGTTCACCTTCCCAGCCTCTTTGAAGGGGGCAGGGACTAGGAGAATGGGAAGCCCCCACCCCAATGCTCAGTTCTAGGTGTTGCCTGGGCCTTGGAAGCTGGAGCACACACAGGGGCTTGTGGCTTACAGGACCAAGTGTGGGACAATAAACGTGTATCAGCTGGAGCTTGCCTCCCAGGGTGATGACATGGACCAAAGGAGCGATCAGCGTGGGGATGCAGCAGAAGGACCCCTAGAGACACGGGATGTTAAATAGATGTCTGTCTCCTCCCTGCCTGTCTCTCTTTTTACTTCTTATAACCTTTTGGTATACTTTAGTCCTGGCTTGTTGTCTTTTATTTTGGGCATCCTTATGGTCATATGGTCATATTCTATAAACAGTTTCGTTTCTGCATTTTAAAAATGGGTGTTTTTTTTTGTTTTGGTTTGGTTTTTTTTGAGACAGAGTCTCTTTCTGTTGCCTAGGGTAGAGTGCCCTGGTGTCAGCCCAGCTCACAGCAACCTCAAACTCCTGGGCTCAAGCAATCCTCCTGCCTCAGCCTCCTGAGTAGCTGGGACTACAGGCGTGCACCACCACGCCTGGCTAATTTTTTGTTTTTTTTTTAGTTGGGCAACTAATTTTTTTCTATTTTTAGTAGAGACTCTTGCTCAGGCTGGTCTCGAACTCCTGAACTGAAGCGATCCTCCTGCCTCGGCCTCCCAGAGTGCTAGGATTACAAGCGTGGGCCACCACACCCGGCCTAAAATTTGTTTGTATTTTAGAAAAATTTTTTTTTACAAACAGGGTCTTACAGTGTTGCCCAGGCTGGATTTGAAGTCCTGGGCTCAAGTGATCTTAACTACCTCAGCCTCGCAAGTAGCTGGGATTACAGTCTTTTCTATATTTTTTACTTAACATAGCATTTTTCCCATTATTGAAAAATTTCTCTGAATGATTATATTACAAACAGTTATTCTAATGACTATAAAATTTGTTTACCCATTATTAGACATTTAAGTTGTTTTATTTAGGGCTATAAAAATGTTGCTGTGATGAATATTTTTGAGCAGGAAGCTTTGGCCACACTACGGTTATGTACTAAGGCTAAATTACCTGAAGCGAGATACTTTCGGGAAACAATGAGCATTTGAAGATTTGTTTCATACCAGAGGCCGCAGTGAAGCAACCTTGACTCAGGCAGGCGCGCCTTCAGGCAGTAGCGTGGGAACCTCAGCCCCCAGCATCCCACCCCTGGGTGTGGGGCTTAGACGCAGGGATGTGTGTAGGTGCCAGCAGTGCTAGCCCCTTTTCTTTCGGTTTGTTTTTTGCTATTCCAGAACATGCTTCCAAAAAATCCCTGTATATGTTTTTGCTCATATTGCTGGGCAGGTATACTTTTTTTATTTTTTTAGACAGGGTCTTGCTCTGTCGCCCAGGCTGGAGTGCAGTGGCATCATGATAGCTCACTTGCCAACCGCAAACTCTTGGACTCAAGCAATCTTCCTGCCTCAGCCTCCCGAGTAGCTAGGACTACAGGCATATGCCACCATGCCCGGCTAATTTTTTCTATATATTTTTAGTTGTCCAGCCAATTTCTATATTTTTAGTAGAGACGGGGTCTCGCTCTTGCTCAGGCTGTCTCGAACTCCTGAGCTCAAACAGTCCTCCCGCCTCGGCCTCCCAGAATGCTAGGATTACAGGCGTGAGCCACCGCGCCCGGCCCCACCTAACTTTTTTATTTTTTGTAGAGAGGGGTCTTGCTCTTCCCAAGCAGTCCTCCCGCTTTGGCTTCCCAAAGTGCTGGGATTGCAGGTGTGAGCCATTGCGCCCGGCCCTTCCTTTTCATATTTTTCTACAGGCATGTTCTATATCGTAAAAATTAACATTTATTTACATGGGACAAGATGCTACCGCTACTTTTATGGAGTGTAATATAGAGCAGTGCTTCTAAGCTAGGTGTAGGGGCGAGCCCTTACGAATCTGCCGGAAACCCCCCCAAACTGAATTTGCTAGGCCCACCTGATTCTGATAGAACTCGCCATCTCCTCTCTGGAACCTGCACCTGTGTGAGGGAGCCAGCGGCACAGATGCTGTGGTACGACATTTGGAAAGGGGACACATTTGATTAGTGGCTGCTTCCAGCCTGTCTGCTCTACCCACCAGAACCCCTTGCAGTTTTGGGGCTCCTGTGATGCACAATTGGGAGGGTGGGCACCCCGAGACAACAACAGTGGGAGAGGGCAGGAGAGATGTCAAAAGATAGGGGCCGTACGGGCCAGTGGGCTGGAGGCCAGAGAGGTGAGGGGTGCCGACACGGAGAGGCTGCTCTTTCCAGGCAGGAAGGGAGCAGGACGGGGACTGGGAAATGTGGCTTCATGTAACATTCACCCAGAAGCTAGAAGACAATAAGCCAGTCCTAGAGATTCTGGGGGCAGGATTTGCATCCTAGAATTCCATGCCCGGCCAAACCGAGCGGGGACACTGCGGACACGTCAGCATGCATGCTCAGGAAGCCCCCAGAGGGCAGACTTCGCCAAAATGAAGAAGTCAATCTATGAAAGGAAAAGGCAGGCCTGAGATCCAGGAAACAGGGAACTCCACAGGAAAGAGAAGTGATAAAGCCTCTGCAGCCTCCAGATATCCGAGCCCAACGTCCACAGCAATGGTCAAGGCTTCCGCACGGTGACTTAGAGACGTGAAATAAACACTGAGCGAAACCACCGAGAGCTGGACTGGCTGCCGTGGGCAGCGGGAATCTGCAGTGGGTGGGACGTGGGTCTGCTGGTTTTTGTTGTAAGCCTCGTTCAATTGTTTGTTTTTTAAATAACCTAAATATAGTGATATAAATGCAAACAAAATTTTTAAAAGTACATCAAAAGCATAAAGAAAAAGAAGTCCTAATAGAGACATGGTTTGGATCCCCTTTCAATGACTTTCAGGCACACAAATAAAGCTAGGAATGACCTTTTAATTACTTTTATTGGCTGGATTGTTTTTTGCTTGTTTTGTTTTTTTTTTTTTTGAGACAGAGTCTCACGGTATTGCCCGGGCTAGAGTGAGTGCTGTGGCGTCAGCCTAGCTCACAGCAACCTCAAACTCCTGGGATCAAGCGAACCTCCTGCCTCTCAGCCTCCCGATTTTTTGCTTGTTTTTGTTTGACTTTTTTTTTTAGGCAGCAGTGCAGCCGCAGGGTCATCTATTAGGTTTACGATTACTCAGGTTGCACCTTTGGGGCTTAGATGCTGCCTTCTCCGCAGGATCAGTCATGGGACCTCCGACAAGTTCCAGATGCCACCCTTTACAACGCAGCGTAAGGACGGAGTGAGAGGCAGGTGTGAACACACTCCTGGAGAGCTCAAAAGTGCCAGCAGCTGCCCTTGCCCCGTGACAGCCAATTCACTTCAAAAATAATTAATACATTGGGCAAACAACTTATTTACTTATTTATTTATTTATTTGGAAACATTGTCTCACTGTGTTGCCCAGGCTGGAGTGCAGTGGCATCATCATAGCTCACTGCAGCCTCTAACTCCTGGGCTCAAGCGATCTTCCTGCTCAACCTCCTGAATAGCTGGGACTACAGGCGAGCATCCACCATGCCCTGCCTGCAAATAACTTTAAAACTATGAGAATGGAAATGGAATATCAAGATGCCACCACCCTGACAAATCACATCACACTTTCTTACTGGGAGAGCAGAGAGGACAGCAGGCTGTGGGGTGCAGACCAGAGGGCTGGTTGGGACCCAACCCAAGAGGCACCCCCTCTGTTCCAGAACCAGGCGGTCTGTGGTCTCACCAAACGCTGCCAAGCCATGGAGCAGGGTGGCACTAATGCCTGGCCTCCCAACCGCTCCTGGGTTTTGGCAATCAAGGGACAGTCATGATCAAGTGCTCCTTGTGGAAACCAATGTATGGAACTCACTACTCACCTTCCTGCCAAACAGGGCACACCCAGCTGTCTCCCTCTGCTACTCCCTCTGCCCGGAGGATCTCCCACGCAGGCCCTGCCCGCCTGAGCGCTAGCCATCCGTGAAAGCCCAGCTCAAACGCCGCCGCCACGATCCCCCAGCCTTTCCCGAGAATCCCTCAGGAGAGGATACACCTCTCTTTTATCACTTATTCCCTACCTAGGATGGGGGTTGCAATGCTCTGAATGGTCGTGTCCCCCCTAGAATTCTTATGTTGAAATCCTAATCCCTAAGTGATGGTATTAGGAGGTGGGGCCTTTGGGAGGTGAACAGGTGATGAGGCTGGAGCCCTCAGGGATGGGATTCGTGCCCAGAGAGCTCTCTGGTTCTCCTGCTGCCACGTGAGGACACAGCAAGATGTCAGCCTGCAGCCCAGGAGAGGCCTGCGCCAGGACCTGACAGGCTGGCACCCTGATCTCAGTCCCCGGCCTCCAGAACTGTGAGAAATAAATGTCTGTTTTTAGGCCACCCAGTCTCTGACATTCTGTTATAGCAGCCGGAACAGACTAAGACGGGTTGCCATGTACCTCCCCAGGAGACAGGTTCCCTCCTGGGTTCTGCTTTGTACGCTGCCCCCTCCTCCATCCCCATCCTCTCCCTCCCTCCACACCCTACACCCCCGCCTAGGATGACTGAGTCCAGGCGAGGGCTCTATAAAGTGTCTGCACAGGGAGGCGGGGTGTGCACAGGTGGGGATGAGGAGCCAATCACCTGCCTGCCCGCGGAACAGGAGGAAGAACAGCTTCCTTGTATTGATGACAGACAGAACCCGCCAAGGGCCAGGCCTTGTGATAAAGCAATTCTGCCCCCCGCTCCACCCCTCGGGACATGGGGTAATGTCTAGGGACAATCATCTCAAATTTTTTTTTTTTTTTTTTGAGACAGAGTCTCACTCCATCGCCTGGGCTAGAGTGCCATCACGTCAGCCTAGCTCACAGCAACCTCAAACTCCTAGGCTCAAGCGATCCTCCTGCCTCAGCCTCCCGAGTAGCTGGGACTACAGGCACGCGCCACCATGCCTAGCTAATTTTTTCTATTTTTAGTTCTCCAGCTAATTTCTTTCTATTTTTAGTAGAGACGGGGGTCTCGCTCTTGCTCAGGCTGGTCTCGAACTCCTGAGCTCAAGCAATCCTCCCACCTCGGCCTCCCAGAGTGCTAGGATTACAGGCGTGATCAAATTTGTTCTGAGACAGGGTCTTGCTATGTTGTCCAGGCTGGACTCAAACTCCTGGGCTCAAGTGCAATCCTCCCACCTCAGCCTCCCAAGCAGCTGGGACTATAGGCACGTGCCACTGCACTGGCTTGGAGACAATTTTGCTCATCATGACTGGGATGGTGCTCCTGCCACGCAGGGGGCAGAGGCCAGGGATGCTGCCAAACATCTTACATCACCCAATACAGCCCTCACAACAACAACAAAAAATTCTGTGAATACACTGAACGGCATACTTTAAATGTATGAGTTGTATGGTATGTGAATCATAAAACAGCTGTTTTGAAAAAGAACTTCAAAAAACAAAAACCAGGTCAGGGGTCCAGGGATCTGCTCAGTGGGTCCAGCAAGCACATCTGGACGTGAGTCTCGCTCTCTGTACAGCGATCCATGCCGTTTCTTCTCATTTGTGCTCTTTTGTCTTCCCTTTTTTTTTTCAGAGATAGTCTTGCTCTGTCACCCAGACTGGAATGCAATGGCACGGTCACAGCTCGCTGCAACCTTTGAATTCCTGGGTTCAGGTGATCCTCCCACCTTAGACTCCCAAGTAGCTGGGACTACAGCCGTGCACCACCATGCCTGGCTAATTTTTTTATTTTCTGTAGAGACAGGGCCTTGCTATGTTGCCCAGGCTCTCCTTGGCCTCCCAAAGCAGTGGATTACAGGATGAGTCACCATGCCCAGCCTGCTTTCCCTTTAGTTCCTAACTCATTAATTGCCTTCTGAAAATCTCCAGCCTGGTCTCAGGGGACCTGGTCTTAAGGTCCCACCCTTAAGCCTGGGGAAACAGAGGCAGGCGTGCAGACCTGGCAGGAGTAGGGGCAAGGGTGGCAGCAGTATGTGCTGAGGTTGGGCAAGGGCCAGTGTCCTGGAACACAGATAAGGACAGGAAACTAGGGGACATGGATGGTCTCTGGCACCTCTGGCCTGGCTCTCTCCAAGCTTTTCCTTACCTGTGCACTGCTATGGGTTGAATTGCGTCCCCTCAAAAGATATATTCAAATCCTAACCCCTAGTACCTGTGGAGGTGACCTTATTTGGAAATGGGATCTTTTCCTACTTGGAAATAGGATCTTTGCAGAGTAGTCAACGTGAGGGCATGCTGGAGTCGGGTAGGCCCTAATGCAATGACTAGTGTCCTTATGAGAAGAGGAAATTTGGGCCGGGCGCGGTGGCTCACGCCTGTAATCCTAGCACTCTGGGAGGCCGAGGTGGGAGGACTGCTTGAGCTCAGGAGTTCAAGACCAGCCTGAGCAAGAGCGAGACCCCATCTCTACTAAAAATAGAAAGAAATTAATCAGCCAACTAAAAATATATAGAAAAAAATTAGCCGGGCATGGTGGCGCATGCCTGTAATCCCAGCTACTCGAGAGGCTGAGGCAGAAGGATCGCCTGAGCCCAGGAGTTTGAGGTTGCTGTGAGCTAGGCTGACGCCACGGCACTCACTCTAGTCTGGGCAAAACAATGAGACTCTGTCTCAAAAAAAAAAAAAAAAAGAGGAAATTTGGACAAAGGCACAGAGAGAAGACAGCAAGTGACAACAGAGACAGGTACTAGAGTGCATCTTGCATCTCCAAGTCAAGGAACACCAGTGCTGCCGGGTACCGGGTACCAGCACAAGCCAGGAGAGAGGCCTGGACGGATTCTCCCCTATAGCCTCAGAAGGAATCAGCCCAGCAACACCCTGATTTCAGACTTCTGGCTTCCTGAATTGTGAGAGAATAAATTTCTGTTATCTTAAACTACCCAAATGGCAGTACTTTGTTGTGGCAGCCTCGGGAAACTAACACAGGCACCAATATCCCCCGGGAGGGGGACCCCAGCCCCTGCCTGCGGCAGCTCCTGACGTGAACAGACCCTGGCCCATCATGCAGCGGCCCTTCCTCCCCACCGCCCACCTCTGTGACTGTCCGTCTGCCCGGGGCCTCGCCTGTCGCCAAGAGGTGAAGCGTGGAAGGACTCAGGCGCCGTATCTCCGTGTTTTCTTCATCTGCCAGCTCCAGGCCCCATGCCAAACCCTGAGGTGGTCCCACTCTCCTCCCTGCTCCCATACATCTGCCAGGGCCAGGCCCACAGGGTGCATCGGCAAATAGGTGCTGACTGCTGTGTGCCAGGCACTGGGTCAGGTGACCCCCAAGGGTAAGAGATGCCCAAGACAGGGTCCCTGCCCCCCCAGGGGCTCCCTGGAGTTGGGAGAGGTGGACCCCTCAGTGCTGGGCAGTTGCAAGTGGAGGTGTGTACACAGAAGGTGGGATGAGGCCACGTCCCCTCAGCCTTCCCAAGATCACCTCCAAGGTCGGCTAACACTTCCTGGCAGTGTGGGATGCTTAGAGGCAGACACACTGGCCCTAGCCCTGCCCAGCTAGGTGACTGTGGGTGAGTGACACAGTGACACAGCTTCACTGATCCTCCTTAGCTCCCTCAAAACGGTGTGAGAGATTCCCAGAGACAAGGCTGGCTATGGTGTGTGGCACGTGGGAGGCATTTATTTAGATAGGAGTTTTCTTCCTTCCTTCATGGAAGATTTCAGAGGACTCTGCACAGAATCTTTCTAAAGTAGACACTCCTAACCTGAGGTCTTGGGGAAAAAAGTCTATCTTTCTTTGGGAGGCCGAGGTGGGAGGATCGCTTGAGGCCAGGAGTTCAGGACTAGCCTGCGCAACACAGCGAGACCTCGTCTCTACAAGAAATAGAAAAATTAGCTGAGCGTCATGGTGGCACCTGTAGTCTCAGGTAATCGGGAGGCTGAGGCAGGAGGATCACTTGAGCCCAGGAGTTGGAGGCTGCAGTGAGCTATGACGACACCACTGCACTCCAGCCCGGGCAACAGAGAGAAATGGTCTTAAAAAAAAAAATTCTGTATTTTCGTTTTCACTGTCCTCTCACTGAAATGTAGCATTCCTTCCTATTCCAAATGGAGAGAATACACACACCACAGTGCTATGAGCAGTACCTGTGACTTAGTCGCTACTAGAAATTACAGGTATCTTCATGACACATCACAGTGTTTACAAAAAGTTTAAAATCTCATTTATGCTTATCACTATTTCAAAAACACAGTCATCATTAGACCTCCATCAGGTCTTGTTATTAATTAATTAATTGTTTTAGAGACAGCATCTTACTGGGTTGCCCAGGTTGGTCTTAAACTCCTGGCCTCAAGCCATCCTCCCGCCTTAGCCTCCGGAAGTGCTGGGCTCACAGGCGTGAGCCATTTTGCCTAGCCTAGTTTGAGCTTTTAAAAGCGCTGCTTTGAGAAGGGGTCTGCAGCTGCACCAGGCCGCACCAGGCCTTCTTCAAGGGCAAGAAAGTTCGAGCCCCTTCCTCTAGACGGATGGATCCTCCTCTCACAATCTCCCCCCACACACATTCCCTCCACTTTGGACTCTTATCAACAGGAGGTCTGCTAGCCTGGGGGTGGGGAGAACTGCCTCAGTTATTCTATTTTTTAAAATATAAGCTTTTAATTTCAGAAGTTTTAAATTTACATAGAAGTTACCACCATGGTCCAGAATCCCCATATACCTGACACCTAATTTCCCCTTTCATTAACATCGTACATTCACATGGCACACGTGTCACAATTAAAGAACCGACACCGATACATTCTTATTAACTACATCCCATAATATCTTGACATTTCCCTAGTGTCCTTTCCTGTTTCAGGATCCCATGGAGGGTCCCTCATTCCATTTAGTCAGTGTGTCTCCTTAGACTCCTCTTGGCTGGGACAGTTGCTCACACTTTCCTCGTTTCTGACGACCTTGACAGCTTTGAGGGGTGCTGGTCAGGTGTTTCGTAGACCGTCCCTCAACTGGGATTTATTTTCCTCATCACCAGACTGGGGTCACTGTTTTTGGGGAGCAAGATCATGTCATGCCACCTCACGTCAAGAGCACGTGCCATCGCGTGACTCGGTACTCTCCACGTTGACTTTGAGCACCTGGCTGAGGTCGTTTGGGGTTTCTTCACTGTAAACCTTTTGCTCCCTCTGGAAGAGTCGCCATGCACCGCCCGCAGGTAAGGAGTGGGAAATTATTTGGAATTCTTCGAACGGGAAATGTGTCTGTTCTCCCTACTTGGTCATTTATCCAAGTATTTATGTAAGTCAGCATGGATGTTTATTTTATCCTTTGGGTCATAACCCAATCCCACTTTATCTGGTTGGCATTCTATTTTTTAAAAAATTTAACCTTATTGAGGTAGAATTTACATACAATAAAATGCACCCTTTTAAGTGCATAATTGGACGAGTCTTAAAAATGCCTCCACTTGGGGAACCCCCACCCCAGCCCCAGCACAGGTGCCCGTGAGCGTCCAGGGGCCGGAACTAAATTCCTCAGACGGGGGCCTTGGAGGATGACGTCAACTTCCCATTTCGGGTCTAGAAAAGTCCAGTTTCCCCACCAGGGGTAAACAGAGTCGCTAAGGGGCAAAAACATACATACATCAGCAGTTACTCTTCTCTGCAGTCAGCAGCTCAGGAACTTTGCTCACGGTGCCAGGGAGGGGTCTGGAGCATGAAGGTGCCGCTCTGACCCAGCTCGGCGCGCCCAGCGCCTCCGGAGCCCTGGCCTGGCCAAGGGGAGGGCGCAGCCTTCCCAGCCCCCTTGCGGTGTGCCCCTCGAGTCCCTGCCCGCGCCCTCCCCTGGGACCGCCCGGAGGGCCCAGAGGCCGCCCCGCGCAGTCTGGGCTGGGGCCGGGCGGCGCTGAGGGGCGGGCCGAGCTGGGGGCGGGAGGGGGCCGGACCCTTGGCCCTGTCCTCGGGGGCGGCGCTGCGGCGCGAACGGTCCGGGTCCCTCCCAGGCGGGAGCAGAGCCGCGGCGCCCTGGGCGGCCCCGAGCCATGGACAGCAGCGGGCCCTTCAGTTGCCCCATCTGCCTGGAGCCGCTTCGGGAGCCGGTGACACTGCCCTGCGGCCACAACTTCTGTCTGGCCTGCCTGGGTGCGCTCTGGCCGCATCGCGGCGCGGGTGGCGCCGGCGGGCCCGGGGGCGCGGCCCGCTGCCCGCTGTGCCAGGAGCCCTTTCCCGACGGCCTGCAGCTCCGCAAGAACCACACGCTGTCCGAGCTGCTGCAGCTCCGCCAGGGCTCGGGCCCCGGGTCTGGGCCCGGGCCCGCCCCGACCCCGGCCCTGGAGCCCTCGGCGCCCAGCGCGCCGCCCAGCACCCCGGAGCCGTCGGCTCCCTGCGCGCCCGAGCCGTGGCCGGAGGGCGAAGAGCCGGTGCGCTGCGACGCGTGCCCCGAGGGCGCGGCCCTGCCGGCCGCCCTCTCCTGCCTCTCTTGCCTCGCTTCCTTCTGCCCCGCGCACCTGGGCCCGCACGAGCGCAGCCCCGCGCTGCGCGGGCACCGCCTGGTGCCGCCGCTGCGCCGGCTGGAGGAGAGCCTGTGTCCGCGCCACCTGCGGCCGCTCGAGCGCTTCTGCCGCGCCGAGCGCGTGTGCCTGTGCGAGGCCTGCGCCGCCCAGGAGCACCGCGGCCACGAGCTCGTGCCGCTGGAGCAGGAGCGCGCGCTCCAGGAGGTGGGGCGCGGGCACGGCCGCGGGCAGGGGAGGGTGACCACCGCGCGAGCGGGCCGAGGGCCTTGGATCCCCCCCGTCCCCGGGCTGGGTCTTAATTTCCTCCTCTAACCTGAGGGATTATGCGTTCCCTCCCTGCCTTGACAATGTCGTCCTCTCGCGGTGGTGGAGATGGGAAGGGGAAAGGAGGAACCAGTGAGATCGGGAAAAGGACGCGAAGGGCGAGTAGGGGGACCTGAAGCTGGGCCAGGGTCCCTAAGGCGGGCGGAAGCGGGGTTGGGCCCGCAGAGTCTCCGGCCGCCGGTTCCGGAAGCGCAGCTGACGCGCCCGCGGGGCTCTCGCCGGTCCCAGCTCAGATTCGTCCTGCGCTGAGGCGGCGGCTTAGAATGGGTGTGGCTGGCGACAGAAGTGCGACTGAGGGCGGGCCGGGCACACAGATCCGCTCTGTCCAGCTGTTCCGGGGCCCATGGTGGGAGCATGTGCGCAGCGTCCCTCTGCCTCCCGCCTCCAGTTTCCTTTGGCCTCCAGCCCGGTCTTGGCGCCTCTGGCCTTGGGATTTTCCGTCTCTCCTGCCTGGAGCAGTGACTCATAAGACCTAGGGGATTTGCCCGGAATCCCCTTTTTTCAGGCTTGGATAGCGGACGCAAGCTCTTTGGGGACAGTCATCCACAGGACAGTTAAATGCCCTCTTGCGCAGTCACACTCCTCTTTCCTTTCCTACTGGAAGTTCTCAAACTCACTGAGCAACACTGAGACCCGGGAGGACCCTGTAGTAGCCCTCTGGTCAGAGAGGGCGGCAGACACCCGGTCAGCCTGTGCTCCCACCAGGCACTTGGGAACAGCTCCAGCCTGGGCTGGAGGCACCTCTGGCATATTACGGAACATCATGGCCACTCCCAGGCCTACCCATGCACAGATAGCACTCCCTGGTTGCCCTTCTCCTCTCCCCTGGGGAGGCCTGGGACCCCGGTGCAGGACCGCGGCCTCGGCCAGACTCCGTACTCACGGAGGGTGTCATCCACAGGCCGAGCAGCCCAAAGTCCTGAGCGCCGTGGAGGACCGCATGGACGAGCTGGGTGCCGGCATTGCACAGTCCCGGCGCACGGTGGCCCTCATCAAGGTCAGATTCTGCCCACCACCCCCACCCCCCAGTCCCCATCCCTGTCCTCTTCTGCACGGGCTGCCGGCAGCGTGAGCTTTCAGCATGGTACGACCCACTCCAAGCAAGCCTGTGCTCAGGGCACTGCCCGTCCCCACTAGCACGAGTGTCACAGATCCAGAGCGGGCTCAGGCTGGCCTCTCTATCCCCCCAAGAGGGCAGGGTGGGAAGGTGGGGTCAGTCAGAGACGGATGGGGCCAAGTCCAGGATTGTCCTTTGTCCTCATCGCTGCCCCCACTGTCCTGTGCAGAGTGCAGCCACGGCAGAGCGCGAGAGGGTGAGTCGGCTGTTTGCGGAGGCCACGGCTGCCCTGCAGGGCTTCCAGACCAACGTGCTGGGCTTCATCGAGGAGGGGGTGGCTGCCATGCTGGGCCGCTCCCAAGGTGACCTGCGGCGACAGGAGGAACAGCGCAGCCGCCTGAGCCAGGCCCGCCACAACCTCAGTCAGGTCCCCGAGGCTGACTCAGTCAGCTTCCTGCAGGTGAGGGCTGCTCTGGGGGCCATGGAAGAAACGGGTGAAGGGGAAGGGTGGGAGGAGGGGCAGTGGGTGCCTGGTCTGCCAGGCCACGCCAGCCTCCTGGCAGAGCTGTCAGCCCCCCACCAGGAGGAGCTGCGGCCAGCAGAGCTTGAACAGGCATTTGTCTGGCACAGGAGCTGCTGGCACTAAGGCTGGCCCTGGAGGAGGGGTGCGGCCCTGGGCCCGGCCCCCCGAGGGAGCTCAGCTTCACCAAGTCATCCCAAGCAGTCCGGGCAGTGAGAGACCTGCTGGCCGAGGCCTGCGCCAGCCAGTGGGAGCAGCTGCGGGGGCTGGACAGCGATGAGGACAGGCTGCAGAAGCTGGGCTCGGAAGGTGGGCCCCCCCAGATGACTCACCCTCTCCCCATCTCCCGCACGAGCCCCCAGGCCTGGTGCTCCTCCAGGAATGGAGGAGGAAAACTGTGCCTGACACAGGGAGGGGCCCGAATCCTGCTAGCAACCGGAGCCACCACCCTGTGGTGACCAGTCAGCCCCTTTGGCCACAGTCTAGAGGGCAGAAGGACTTTTCCCAGTGCACCCTCTAGCTTCAGCAGGGCTGAGGCCCAGCGAGCAGTGGGCAAGGGGCAAAACTCAGGCACCAGGCAGGGTGTGAGCATGGGGTGCCCTATTTGAGTTTGTGCCTGTTGCCAGGCGGCTCGGGACTCTGGGAGGGGGGAGAGGAGGAATTGCAGCCACAGGCTCAGGGGGACTGTCCGGGGGGCACTCCTCACTGTCTCCTGCTGCAGCCGATGCCGAGTCCCAGGACCCCGACAGCACCGACCACCTGGAGAGTGAAGCTCCCCGGGACTATTTCCTCAAGTGTGAGTGGACACGTGGGCCCTCCGCTCCTGCCGGGCTGGCCCCAGGAGCAGGCCCCAGCAGGGCCCTGGCACAAGAGGGTTTAGAGGCCCCTCCCTAGTTTGCGGGTGAACTAGGTCCGCTCCTGGGGTGCTCTCCAGCGGCACTGAGTTATGCTGGTTGGGAAGGAGGGAGAGGCCGAGTTTTGGGGAGGTGGCACCTAGGGGAGGAGCTGTCCCATCTGAGCCTGGTCCTGAGCCCTGCCCTCTCTTCTGTCCCTGGGATCAGTCGCCTATATCGTCGACCTGGACAGTGACACGGCAGACAAGTTCCTGCAGCTGTTCGGAACCAAAGGTGTCAAGAGGGTGCTGTGTCCCATCAACTACCCTGAGTCGCCCACCCGCTTCACCCACTGTGAGCAGGTGCTGGGCGAGGGCGCCCTGGACCGGGGCACCTACTACTGGGAGGTGGAGATCATCGAGGGCTGGGTCAGCGTGGGCGTCATGGCCGAAGGCTTCTCCCCCCAAGAGCCCTACGACCGGGGCCGGCTGGGCCGCAACGCCCACTCCTGCTGCCTGCAGTGGAACGGGCGCAGCTTCTCCGTGTGGTTCCATGGGCTGGAGGCGCCCCTGCCCCAGCCGTTCTCACCCACAGTGGGCATCTGCCTGGAATACGCCGACCGCGCCCTGGCCTTCTACGCCGTGCGGGACGGCAAGGTGAGCCTCCTGCGGAGGCTGAAGGCCTCCCGGCCCCGCCGGAGTGGCGCCCTGGCCTCCCCCACCGACCCCTTCCAGAGCCGCCTGGACAGCCACTTTGCGGGGCTCTTCGCGCACAGGCTCAAGCCTGCCTTCTTCCTGGAGAGCGTGGACGCCCATCTGCAGATCGGGCCCCTCAAGAAGTCCTGCATATCGGTGCTGAAGAGGAGGTGATGCCGGGCACGCGCCCTCCTGAGGCAGGGTCGGCTCCGGGAAGCTGGCTCCTCTGGGCCCTCATCCTCCCCAGGGAAGGCACCAGCCTTGGAGTCCCACACTCCTCGCCTTCTCGTTTCTAGAGGCCTCCACCTTCGATACACTTGGCCTTCCGCCTCTCAGAAAGGAGGCCCCCGCAGCCCTGTCCCCCGGCAGGACTGGACAGAGCCAAGCTACTCCAACCCCTTTTCCAGGTTTCTAGAACAGTGCCTGGTGTGTAGTAGGTGCACAATAAACATTGTTGACTGCCGGCTCATTTCCATCCTTCTCCACCCACTGAGGATTCCCAGGACCTCTCATGTTTCCAGAGTCCCTGGTCCCAGGATTCCCGTTGGGAGGGAGAGCCCTGGGGCTGAAACGGCGGCACACCTTGGGGCACCCCCCACTCCCTGGTTTCAGGCAGGGGCAGCCAGAGGTGGCGATTCCCGCCGTGTCCTGGCCTACCTGGCTGCTCGAGTACTTGGGCTGGCCTGGCTCCCACCCGCTATTTTCATCCTCCATGCCACAGCCTAGCTCTGGACCTGCCTTTTGTTGTTTGTGCCCAGAACTAAATGCAAACATCACACCCCCAGGAGCAGGGCAGGACTCCTGGGTGGGGCAAGGGAGTTTGAGACTAGGAGCCTGTTTTGCACACACCCCTTCTCAGCCCAGGCAGGGCCTTGGCTGAGACCCCCCCAGGGTGTGGCTGGAACTGAGAACCTACAAGAAAGGGACCTAAGTCCTGCTCCAGGCCCTACGCCCCAGGAGAGCCTCTGCCTTTCTTTTGGGGGGCCCAAAGCCCTCTGCTGTCTCAGAACCATGGCCAGGCCCGGGATGCCTGGAGGCTACAGGGCCAGTGTGTTTCCAGGCCAGCTCCCTCCTCCCTGGCTTCTCTGGCCCAGGTGCACCCCCAGGGCAGGGGCACAAGGAGAGGCCTCTCAGACAGCCGCCTCAAGGTCTGGCAGGACCGCGGGTGAGTTATGCAGCCAGACAGCAAGGCCATACAAGTCCAGCCCCAGCCCCTGGCAGCTAAAAATAGCCCCTCCCGCGAGCCTGCTTTAGGCCCAGCAGCCAGGATGTTGTTTTTCCGGGCGGGGCCTCCTTGCTCCCGATGTTTTCAACACAGTTCCCTTAGTAGCTACAGGTCCCCAGCTCACCCTGTGAGGGGGCTGGTGGAGCAGCTGGGCAGGCCCTCCCTGCCAGCCGTGAGCCTCCCCCCAGCACAGCGCCCCTCCTACCCCCTCCCCTCACCCCCTTCCACCTGCTGGCTCATCTCCTCCCCCAGCTTGGCACTCTCCACCCCACAGGCTGTCCTTGCCAGGGAATCCTCTAGACCCCAACCCTCAGGAAGCCTTGGCATGTCCCGGAACATGAGCTGGACAGACCTGGTACTTCCTCAGTGGAATTCAGGCCTGACTGGTCACGTCTGTGGCCACAGCCACAGCCACTCAGCGAGTGTGCCACCTGCAGTGATTTCCAGCTTCCAAAGACTTGCATGGGGCTTTGTGACACAGGCGTCTTAATCCCAAATCCCGGCATTACAGCTTTACAGCTCAGAGCCGTCAGCTAGCAAGGGGCTGGCGCTTTGGACCCCAAGTATTGTTTCAGAATCCTGAGTCTGGAATGTCATCCACAGCCCTGTACTTCCTCTGGGACTCTAGGATAATGCTAAAGCCGGGAGGGATGGAGCGCGCGCATGTGTGCGTGTGTGTGTGTGTGTGCGTGTGTGTGTGTGTGTGTGTGTGTGTGTGACTGTGCGTCTGCCTGGGCGCATGCCTGTGTATGTACATGTGTCTCCAGCCCGGTGACTTTTCCAACAATGCCCTGAGAAGATCTAGGAGGAGAAACACTGAGGCAGAGTGGGCTGGAGGAAACCGGGGTGGGTCCCCCTCAGCACCCCACCAACACTTTAATCAGAGATTTTATCTGTTTTATTCATGATTGCTTGAAAAAAAACCGTTAGGAAGAAAAAAATTAGAAAACCACCAATCTAGTCCCAACCTTCTCCTCCCACTACTATATCCGGATGGAGAAACCGAGGCACAGAGTCATCGAGAAGCCGCCCAAGGTTATCCCCTTTCTCCATACTGCAGGGCTTAGGTGTGTCCCGCACTCAGCAATGTCTAAACACGCACACACGCACAGCCCTGCTTCCCAGCACTGTTTTGTGTAAGAGCTGTCACAGGCTGGGCTCCGGTTCCCACGGTCACCAGAGCCCTTGGCAGAGCTGCCGGAGGGTCTGTGGCCTCAGAAGCTCCTGCCGAACCCCGGACAATGGTGGAGGAGTGAGGGGTTTTCTGAGGCTGTGGTGCTTTAGCCAAATCGGGCTCCTTGGGAGGGCGGGGAGCCGACCTCCACTTGAGCTTTGTTTCGGTGGGAAAGGGAGCTCCGGAGGCCAGCCCACCGCCTAAGAAAGGGACTGGAGCGTCGCTGCCCTCCGGCACCCCTTGCCTCCCCACACTCCAGGAGGAAAGGGGCCCCAGTCCTCTTTCCTCCCTTCTCCCCCTCTTCTGCCCCCTCCCAAGGCCCAAGGAACACTCCCAAAGGCTTCCTCGACCTCCCCCCTCCCAGGCAGAGAGGGTGAGGCTGGACCCCAGACTGGCTAATCCCGGGCCTGGCCAGGAAGAGGGGGCTGAACCATGGTTTTCCCATCTGCTAACAGATGGCTGCTGAGTGACTTACGGGAGGACGGCGTGACAGCGTGGATCTGCTGAACAAAGAGATGATTCACGGGCCCGGGTGGGACAGAGCAGGGCAGCACTGGATTTCATCATATTACTTAGAACGGCACACAATTTAAAACTTATGAATTGTTTATTTCTGGAATTTTCCATTAAATATTTTTGGACTGCCGGGGACCGTGGGTAATTAAAACCTTGGAAAGTGAAGCCAGGAATAACAGGGTGCTACTATGGCACTTAGCTGCAGGGTCTGTGTCCCCTCAGCCTCCCACCCAACACACACGTTCCCATTTGATGCCAACATTCAAAATCTGGAAGACAGGGTGTTCCCCGTCCGCGCAGTGAGATCGTTTGGAAGATGCGGGAGGCCCCAGGTGGTCCTTGCGGGCTTCACTTGGGGTGGGAAGTCTCAATGTTCTTCCAAAGTGTTCCCAGAGAAGGGGCCAGGGAAGAAGCCAATGCCCAGCCAGCCTCGCCAGCACATGGGGCCAGGCACTGAGGCAGGTAGAAAAGATTCTCTCATGTTCTGTGTACTTTATCTTTCAATGACATTCAAATTTTGAATTTTACTCCATAATATCTCCAGTTTTGCTTTAATATAAAAAACAATGCTTTTCTGTCCCAGCCTGGGAGAATGGTTTTGTGTATGAGCTGTGGAATCAAAAAGTCTTGGCTAAAAATTCCACGTCAACCATTTCCAGGCTGTGCGTCTTCGGGCAACATACTGAGCCCCCCGTGCCTCAGTTTCCTCACTTGTCAAATAGAGATAAGAGTAGAACCGCACGGCATTGTTTTGAGGATGAAATGAGATAATCCTGGCACAGAGCAAGCATTCGATAAATGTTATTATTATTTCTCTGAATAACTGAGTAAATTTGAAACTCTTCGAAGATGTGTCAATCTTCAGGGAAGCAGGGATTTGTTTTTCAGGAGCTAAGATTATCCCAAACCTAAGTTTGCCAAGACACTACACTTTGCCCCACTGTTAAGATTAGAAACTTTCACTCACTCATTCAACAATATTTGATCAGCGTGGGGCACTGTGCTCAGTGCGAGGGATGCAGCAGTGGGGTCCAAAGCAGAGATGCCCCTGCCCGCACGGGCACCACACAAAGGGCCACCTGATAATTGTAGCGGGAATAAATACTATTACATAAAAGAAAAGGATAGCAACTCCACCGCTGGGTGTGTATCTGAAAGAATGGAAAGCAGAGACTCTATCAGATACTTGCGTGCTCGTGTTTCAAGCAGCATTATGTACGATAGCTGAAAGGTGGAAACAATCCAAGTGTCCATCAGCAGATGAACAGATCAGCAAAATGTACTAGATCCATACAATGGAATATTATTCAGCCTTAAAAAGGAGGAAATTCTGAACAAATGGTACAACTTAGATGAGCCTTGAAGACAGTATGCTAAGTGAAATACGCCAGTCACAAATAGACAAATACTGTATGATTCTACTTACGAGAGGTGCCCAGAGTAGTCAAACTCATAGGAAGTAGAAGGGGGGTTGCCAGGGGCTGAGGGAGGCAGAAGGGGAGTTAGTGTTTAACGGGGACAGAGTTTCTCTTTGGGGAGATGAAGAAGTGCTGGAGATGGCAGAAGCGATCGTTTCACAATAATGTGAATGTACTTAAAGCCACTGAACTGTACACTTAAAAATGGTTAAAATGGCAAATTGTATGTTATGTATCACCAAAAAAAAAAAAAAAAAGGAAAGAAAGAAAGAGAGGAAAAAGAAAAGGACAGTGGCTATGGAAACACAGAAAGGAGCCCTAATGGGGCTGGCGGAGGGAGGGACATTTCCAGGGATGACCTACCCAGAAGGGATAGCTGAGGCCTGAAGGACAGGGAGGAGCTGGCAGGACAAAAAGTATGGCTGTGGGTTTTGTCCGGAGCACTTTGAGGAGTGAGAGGAGGCAGGAGGTGGCAGGCCAGGTCCAGAGGGGCAGAGCCTGGTAAGGATTCTGGACTTTTCCTAAGAGCAATGGGAAGCCATGGCAGGATCTTACATGGAGAAACAATTTTGAAATTTCAAAAATCAGTTTATTATTTCGGTGAGAAATGGGTCTAAGAAGAGGAAAAAAAGGAGATGGGAACGGCTAAGGCTACCCCGCCTAGATCTCACCAGGGAGATGGAGTGGAGCCCCCCCGCCACAGCCCTGGGAGGGAGGACTCAAAAAGAGCAGGGAGGGACCAGACCCGTGAGAACCTCTCCTGGTCCCTCCTCTCCTTGAGCTCCCTGGCGCAGAGGTGTCCCTGCAGCCGTGGCTCCTCTGTACTGGGACAAAGGACCTCTTCAGAGGTGACACCGCCTCATTCTGGCTTTCTGTGGTTTTGGAGGCACAGACGTGGAAACAGACGGCAAGAGCTTTGAATAAACAGTCCGACAGCAGGAATCGCTCAGAACAGACCTCAGGGACGCTGAACTTGACGGAGCTGGGAGGTCCAGGCTGGGAACCTCAGGGTGGGGCCCATCTCCATAGCAACCAGAAACAGCCCCAGACATGCCACTGGCCCTGCCTCCAGATGAAGGAGCGGGGAACTTGAGTTCTTGAAATATCCACAGCCAAAAAGGACTCACC